AAAGGAGGCGACGTAAACGTCATTTTTTACGTCGCATCAATAGGGGTGCGACGAAAATGACATTTTTTAAGTCGCATCCCTATTGGTGCGACGTAAAAGAGGCCTTTTACATCACCTCCTTTTAGGTGTGACGTAAAAGTCCCACCTCATATTTACAAAATTGCTACCGCATTTTTTTTAAGTTGGATATTTTTTAATACGACGATAATTAGGTGACATAAAAGACTTTTTTGTACTAGTGATTCTTAAAGAGATAACTTGTTTCATGATTGGTTTCTTATGCCTTATGATATAGAATTTCTCAAGACAAAGGTGGAGTTGGAGATGTCAAATTGTAAGACCAAGCTACAAATATTTTTAATGTGTGAAGGTGAATTAGAGATTGAATTGACATAATATACTAATTTGTCAATAAAATACTTATTCTAAAGCACAAGGCTAAGCCAGAGAAGTTCAAGCGTAAAGCAAGGCAGGGGAGCTTGAGGCATGAAGCTAAGCTAAAGATAAATATTAAATGATACGTAAGTTCACAAATTGTTAGACCTAAGTCAACCTTGTCAAGGTGGTATGCCAATTTTGTATTTTTTTCTTTTAAATAAAGAAATACAAACACAAGACAAAATAAAACTTATAATTATTAAAATGAATTCGTTCAACTTTTATATTTGAGTTGTAACGAACCTTGTTGACGTAAAATAACTTAGCCACATTTTATCATGTATAGATATTCTATGTGACATATGAGTATAAGTGTCAACATAAAACAATATAGATATCTTGTTCATGCAAAAAGGAATTCATGACTAGTATAATCAATTTTTTTAACAGATTTTGTTTTACTCAAATACATAAAAATATTCTATTTTACTGTAAGTTATCTCTAATACAATGAAGTTTATGACATTTATAATGTATAAAACACGTACTTTAGAGATAATAAAATATTGAATTTTGTCCATGAGGTCTCATCTTAAGTGAGTGACTGGTGAGAGAAGATTTGTCTTAAATTTAATATTTTTTAATTTTTATAAGCCTAATTATAAATGAAATATCTAATTCACCTGTTAAATTAATTTGATATACGATAATTATATTCATCTTATATATTATAATATTATTGTATTTTTAATTGAATAAATACGAGTTATATTCAAATAAGTAAGTAAGCAAAAGTGGTAATTTTAAACAAAAGGAATTATGGTAGGTTTTGGTAAGGGAAAATGTTCAAGTTTTGCTGGGATATTTATAGGAGTTGGTCAGAAAATATGTCACTTTCGTCAATTCAATCTGTGGGGTGATAAGTTGGAGTTTGATGGTTTCATGAGAATTTTTGGACTCTTGGGTTTAATTAGGGTTTATGGCATTTTTAAAAATTTTGGACTACGACTATAATTTGAAAAAACTTAGGGGCATGAATGTAATTTAATGTAAACCAATCATATATATATAAATAACTTGGAAGGATAGTATTTATATTATAAAATATTTTTTATTATATTAATAAATGTGTATTTTAATATAAATATTATTTTGTCTAAAAATCACGGTCTTATGTGTATTATAATAATATTATTAAATTAATTATTACGTTAAAATATTATTTTTTAAATTCTAATTAATCATATGATTTTGTCATGAAAAAAATATCTTTCAAGTGACAAAGTATAATAAAAAAAAACAATTTTCGATATGACATTACTCCATAAAAAATTGGCCATCACCAACCGATGTTCGAATGGTACATCATATTCTTTACAATTCTTAAGCATGAATTCGAATTGATATTGTATTCGATTTTGGAACATTATCCAAATGTGATATTTAGTCCTGTGATTAGCAGTTAAATTTTTTATTTATTTTAATATCTAAATAAGTAAAAAGTTTCATTTGATTTGCTAATATATCATTAAAATATATTTTTAATTATTAATTTGAAAGTAAGTTAAAGTATTTTATTATTAAGTTAAAATATTAATATTAAATGTGTAACTGGATTGTATCGAGATATTTGGTAGAGAAAGGTAGATTTCATGACAGATGGTATAAAAGTTTAAAATTATACAATATGATTAATGGGAAACAAATGGATTGAGAAATTAGAAAATCACAAAATTATAATTTTTAATAATTATTTATATTTTCATTTTTTTCTTAAAACGTCTTTTAAAAATAAAAATAAAACAGATTAAAATTTTAAATATATAAAATATATAATAAAAAATCCTAATAATCTTATTGTTCGAAACATGATCATAAGACATTCTTACTGATACCACTTACTTTACTAACTAAATAAGATAAGGAAAGAAACATATAAGCAATGGTTGTATTCTTTCTATATTATTTCTATGGCTAAGATGTGGCTGACCAGTGTGCATGGGAACCGTAACGAGAATCATATCCTGAGGCGTATGATTTGAGTTTATGTTACCCTGAATTTTGAACAGGCATTAGGATTGGTGTTAGTTGTGGGATATATGAATCTTCGAATGGAATTTCCATTATTGGCATAAAGTAATTGAAGCAAAGAAAAAAGAAGTTGATACTGGATGTGCATGAAGCAGGAATCAATTCTCCATAATGTTTTTCAGTTATTCTCAGAAACTAATGCATAAGCTTACCCAGTGAAGGTTTATTTGGTAAGGCACTTTTTTGTTACATCTTTTTTCATCGTACTATTAGTTAAAATTGGTGAAGGGGTTTGAAAATGTGACCATCAAATGAAGAATAAGATGCACATTTGTAATATTACTCATAAATTTTATCTAATAAACAAGAATATACTAAAAAGTATTCACATTTATGTATATCCATTTATGCACGGATGCCATAAATGATGGCTCGGGTCAGTCATATTGGATTCTGTTGCAGTCTGTCACATATCAGCTTCCTCTCATACAGCCTCACATCATATGTTCTGCAATAATGCATTCGAATCTTGTAAAGAAGGGCAAAAGAAGGGTTTTATGACGAAAAAAATAAAAATATTGTGGACATATCCATTGTAGTTGTTGTTAATCAACAGAAAAAAATTTTACTAAGGAAAACAAAACTCTAGGAGAAACATCAAATGGGTAGATATATAAATACTTTAAAAATTGGAATATGGAGAGCTACTCTTACTTTTATTTTTCCTAGATAAACATCCCAAATTTAAGAGATTTTATAATTTGATTTTAGAAATGTAGAATTAATTTTTTACAAAAGAAACTAATTATCTTGTAGATAATAAGTCTCCTCGACTTAAACTTGGTATCTACTTGAAGATTTTTTTTTAATAACCTAACAACAAAATTTAGGGTTTACAACCTTCTAACAATATCTTCATAAGTAAATCTTCAAGAAACATAGACAACATCTACTATTCCTTATTAAAGAAAGAGGATGATGAACAAAAGTTTAACCAATAAACATTTCATTTGTAAAAACTTGTACTTTGATGCATGGGAATTTTCATGTCTTCTGCATTATCTAGCTTCAACTTCTTCAAAAGCTCCTTTACATACTTCATCTAGTGTTTTGCACATGGCATTTGTAGTTTGCTTTTATCTAAAGTCCCAACAAAAAAAAAAAAAGATTTGTCGTCATGCTCATTGCAAACTCATTATACTTAGAAAAGTTCTCACAGAACTCATTATTAGCATTGAATATGACATCCACATTTGTATGTGGTGTTCATAAAGTGGAAAGTGTCTTTTATACCATGTTTATAAAAAAAATGCTACAAGTTTTCATTTTTAAATCTCCACCGTGATCAGTTTTAATTGAGACACTTAGTATATCCTTTTAGTTTTGAATCTTCTTAAAAAATTTATAAAATGTATCAAAAGACTCATCATTGAGATAAGAATTTACCTAGATTCATCAAGTACAATTGTCTACAATGACTAGATCGTGACTCTTGTCTCTAACAAATGTAGTTCTTGTTGGTCCAAACAAAAGATTGTCTTTGAATTATATGACTAGAATCCTCTTATGAGAATGAGATTATGAAACTTTAAGATTAATATATCAAGCTAGCATGCACACATTTTCTATGCAATACCTATTGATATTCTTTGATTGACATTAGGTATAATTAAGGTCTTTTGAGTAGAGAATTCAACTAATTTAATTTTATGCAAATTCTCCTATTTCTTAGCAAAGAAAATGGACATGTCATTATTCTCCTTCATTATACATTGGTCTTTATTGAAAACAACATTATATCATTGTCACATAATTGATTTATACTAAGCAAATTATGTTTGAGACTTCAACAAAGAAAAAATTACTAATAGTTGTGGAATAATCCATGTCTATCATTCCAATTTCTATAATTCTTTTTTGATAATTTCCTTCAAATGTTATCGTTCCTCCCTTCTACTTCTTTAAGTCTAGGAATATAAACATTTCTCCCATTATGTGTCGTGAACTATCACCATGCAAGTATTATGATTGATTTGTCTTTCATGTTACTAACCAAAATTTATGATAATAATTCTTTAACTTTTAGATAGATAAATGGACTTGAGTTACTTTTTCTTAATTTTTCCGCTTATACTTTTGAGATATAATGAGTTATTAGTGATAATATAACCATATTTTACAAAATAAATCTATTTGTTTTTGTCCAATGATAAATGTTATTCTCCGGTGTAACCATAAATAGGCTTGTCATAAATATGTTTTGAGTATCTAATAAAAAAATTAAGTTTTTTATTCCCATGATATGTTATAACAATATTTAATATCTTATTTTCCTATAATAAAATCTACTTGAAAACACTCTATCTTGGATATATTCTATTTTAAAATCTTAATTGGTTTAACTTATTCATCAAAATAATCACTTATTTTTATCAACTTATTATGATTAAAAAAAAATTATATCACATAAAGAACTTGTAGTAAATTTGCCAGAAATAATTCAAGTTGGATCATTTCAACACGAATTCCAAGAAGCCTATCTATTCCCTACTTTCAAGCATAAAGGGCCTTAAGCATAAGCTTTTAGAAGGATGGTTCTTTGATATCTAGATTATTAGAGAACTGATAAATCATGTCCCCCACTACATATAGCCCTTCACCCCAAGCACTAGACTCACCATCTGGTTCACAACCTGTTCTTCAACTACTTCTCTAAGGACATCAAAACTTTTGCTTGCGTCATACTTCTATCATCGTTTACTCTCCCACAAGGTAAACTTGTTTGTGCTTTATAATTCATACCTACATATTTATACATAAGAATAGCATGTTTCAATCTAAGGTTTTAAATCCAAACACCATTACGTATACAGCACCAACATCAGCTCAAAGCAGCCGCAATGCAACTACTAATGCAATTGGAATTTAAAACTTTAGTTCAATCATACATGTTGACAGAGTATGCTATCAGTAAGACCACAGTTCCTATCCAAACAATACTTTCATGGATTTCTTCGCAAGAAATTTAATAAAACATAGCAGAAAAACTAATAATATATTGTCTAATATGCTCTCTGTTACATATTTTCTATTATTAGTTAAAGTTATTAAAAATCATGCAATTTTATTAGTTTGCTTTCGTATTTAATGATTTTCACTTATAATTTCGTAGTTAATAATGTCAAAATGTGTTACTGTTAGCACGTGAGTTGTTGGAGACATGCAGATTAAATTTTGTGGTATATCACTCTTTTCTGACTTCATAAAAACTGACAATAGATTTAACAGGAAACATGAGCTGGTCTGGAGGAGATTGGATGTGTGGTGCTTGCCAGCACATAAATTTCAAGAAGAGGGATTCATGCCAAAGTTGTGGATACCCCAAATTTGGAGGCTCTGACCCAACAACTTACAGATACAACTGGACTGAAGCCTTGGCAGGGGACTGGTACTGCACTGCTATGAACTGTGGAGCTCACAACTATGCCAGCAGATCAAGCTGCTATAGATGTGGTGCATTGAAAGATGGTTATTCTTGTGGATTTGGGGGAAACATGGATGCCTCTGGAGGATATGTTTCTGATTGCAATTATCCCCCAGGTTGGAAAACTGGTGACTGGATTTGCACTAGGTTAGTTCACATTATAACTCAACAAACAACCCTGCATTTCTATTACTACTACAAGAAAACTGAGCAACATAGTTTAAAACATGTGTGTTTATTTACATACTAAAGCTACATTTCATGTATTGAATTCTCCTTTTCTTCTCCCAGAGTTATAGAGTTATTCTTTGCCTTGCGTATGACACATATACATTGACCACAAGAACAAAAGCAGCAGTACTTTAGTAGGTAAAAAACTGGAAAGGGACCATGAGCCCATAACAATAATTGAGAAAGAATAATACAAAGTTTTTGTTCATTGGTCAAAATAAAATAACTCATTTTCTTTTGTATTACACAATAAGAAATATGAAAAAGACTTGAAGATTTTTTCCTTGACATTTATTTTGTTTATTCCTATGTTTCAGAATTGGTTGTGGAGTGCATAACTATGCCAGCAGAACAGAATGCTTCAAGTGCAAAACACCAAGAAATTTTGGTGAGAATAAGTTTGACCCTCATGAAGTTTTCTTCGTAATTATGTGAAAACTTGACATGAAAACTTGCATGTTTATTACTTCTATTCAGGTGACGCAGACTGAGAGGAAATTTCAACCCCCATAAATTTCTGCAAACTTGTTTTCCCTTGTTAAGGTCTAGAGTAATCATGCACGGCCAAGCTTTTGATTTGAGAGGCTTTCCTTTAGTTGTTGTTTACTGATAGATGTTTTGACAAGGAAATTATGAAATCCATATATATTTTCTGTTGAATATCATGTTTTGACAAATTTTCTTTGTTACTGAGATAAGATAACTAAGCTTTTAAATGTTTAATTTAAGACTCTGCTCATGTAATTGTTGGAAGATAAATTGATAATAATATACATAGAAGAAACTCAATTTATTTTATTCTTTCATTTTTTTAGAAGCTTTTAAAAACAAATTTCCTCCAAAGGGACCCTAGATTCATGATTCCTGCTGTGAACCAAAATTAGGAAGAAACCCTTCATTATCATTTTATGATTTTCCTTGGTGACTTAATAACAATTTTATGTAAATGTTGGGAGACAAATGGCACGTATGTATTCTTTCTATTTAACTGTTTTCTTAGTCAACTTTCAAAATATTCTCAGTTTGTGTTATGCTTTGAAGATGTTAAGCAAGGACCCCCCACTTTTAGTGAACCAGTTCTCAGAATTGTGCAGGACCATTTATGACCATGTGTCGGATGCCTTATTTTACTCTTGACTATTTTTTTAGTATTTCGTTTCTGGCTATCCAAATCAAGGAGATGCCAAAATTTTGAATAGTTCTTGATAATAATATTATAGAAATAGTTCTTGAAAATAAGGACAGGGTTTAATTTTGTTTTTGTTTTTTCACTTTTTAGAAATAGTTCTAGAGATTAATTTTAGAAAATCATTTTTGAAATATAAAAGTTGAAAAGAAAATTAATTAAAAAAAAAGTTAGTTTATATGGAATGCTCCAAATAATCATAATAAAAAATTAAAAAAATGATTTGATAATTTCGTGATAACATGAGTTATTTAATATAATTATTAATGAAAATATTGGTATTTATTAATAAAAATAAAAATAATTAATAATTATAATTAATATGCAAAACAATTTGATTAGAGTAATATTTATTTGGAATGTAACTATTTTTTAAGTCATTGTGACTTTTAGAAATTAATATTTTGCCTTGAAAGCTCCACGCAAATACATTTAGGGTTCACATAATTTAAGGAAAGAAAATATGTATTCGTAAGTTACCTAATCGTAATCTTAATCATAGAGATAACTTTATTTGGTGGAGTGATATTCTTAGTTTTATTCGGTATGATTCTTTTAGAACTAGAAAAGGTGGATTTATATTTACTTAATTTATTATAAGTTTGGACCTACTTTACTCATTAATTTTGTATTTGATTTTTTATTATAATATTTGATGTGATACAAATTATAAATGATTTTAAGATTATCATCTAGATGTTTAATTTTTATGGGATGTTTTTGCACATTTATTTTATTAAAAAATAATAAATTTATTTTTATTGTTACATTAAGAAGTATCCACTTACGTGATATGTTGAACAACAAAGAGAAGAAAAAATTTACAAGTTCAAGTTCCAAAATTTCAAGGACTTTTTTTTTTTGTTACAACATGTTTCTACCAAATTGAGGGAGTCCTTATATCAACTTCAAACCAAGAAGGCTAGTCTACAACAATCTTTAGGTTTAACACTGAGTTATTACGATATTTGAACCAAATAAATGTTTACTTGTGATGATTTTTGATAATTAAATTATTAACAATAAAAGAAGATAACATAAATTTATGAAAATATAATGAAAAGAGAATAATATTCATTTATTTATAAGATTATTACTAATGTTTATATCATCTATACAAAAATATAATATAAAGAATTATTCATGAGAATATTTGGATATATCCTGATATTTTCAATATATTATATATTTTTATGAAAAGATTAAATTTATTGAAACATTTTTATTATTATTGATAAATTACGACAATACTTAAATATTAATAATATTTATTTCATAGGTTTTATTTAGATTTGTGTCATGTTTCTAATGCACAATTAAAGATATATATGCAAGTTCTTTAAGCTTCAAATTTAAATTTGAGTTGTTAAGATCATTTGGTTGTGTTAATGATTAACGAGATTTTTGCTAAATTAAATAACGAGCTTACAAAAACATGTTTTTGTTATAAATGGGTACTATGAGTCCATCTTGGATGAACTCGCTAAGTTGGTTTTAAATGATAACTTGTTTTTGAAAGACTTTGATAAGTTCCAAGTTTATCTAAGTTCTAATTGTATGTTCTAGTGTGAAGTCACTTTTTGGAATTAGAGTTATCCAATGGTCAAGAAAGCTGAGTTATGAAATGATGATCACATGTGTGTTGCATAAAGCAAAAGCTTGGTGGAGTGCAAATGTCTTTCTCCTCTAAAGAATACTAGACTTTAAAAGACAAGGTTGATGTAACAATGTCTCTATATATACATGATTTTCGAAAGATCATCACATCATCTTTTGTCAACATTCTCATTAACCACTCACTGTTAAAAATTTGGCTCCAATCATAGGAAGGTCTTGTTACATGATCTTGCTCAAAGGAGTTATGATTAAGTTATCATTGGCTAACATCACCTCAAATTCGCCCATCAGTCTTTTCATAGATTCTAGATACCTATAAATTGCCTAAACTACCCTTAACAAGTGGCACAAAGACCTTTTTCATCTTGATCCACCAAGAATGCCAAGTGGGGAGAGCTAGGCATTTTGTGAAGGAAGGTAGAGTTACAATTAAGAAGGGTTAAGAGGGATGGATGGGTCATGTAAGTATTTTGCATTGGAGGTTAGGATGTCAGGCTAGGTAGTTTATTGTTGGTTTTAGTTGAGGAGGTAAAGGTGAATGTGGTTAGATGGTAAGGTCAACTATGTGTATGTCATCTTGATTGTCTAAAGGTGGTGTAGGTTGTTGTTGTTGGTTACCTCAAATGAGTCATCTAGTAATTCAATGGTGGCATGGGGAAGAGGTTGGGTTATGTAGGGGATGATGTGGCTTGTGCCTTAACTACTTTTTAAATAACTTCTTTAATGACTATTGTTTAGACTTCTAGGGCATTGTGGTTGTAACTAACACAATTTCTAAATTTGAGGATTTGAGACTTCTAGAAGTCCTCTTGAGGATAATCTATCATTTGAGTGAATAACAATTATAGAGTGATTTTTGTGTTTGGACTTTGAGGAGCTTTTTCTTGCAAGATTGCTATTGGGGATGAGTCATTGGACGCTTTTGCCTCGTTTAAGGAGTAACAATTATTTGACATTTCTTAGAGAAACATTTGGTTAAGGCTCAAGATCGTCCTGTAATTATCTTACTCTTCTCTCGTCAAAATTTTTAGGGTTGCATGCACCTTCTTTTGATCTACTCTTCCTGCCTAACAACTAGTTGTATGACTCGATAATTTAGCCTAACAATGTTGAATGACTTATATTTCATGTAGTCCAAAATACTCTAAATATTGGTTATCCTTATAATACTTCTTTAAAGCAATTAGGTCAACTATTGGATGAGAACGAATGTTAAAGTCTAAACCTAAATGCATTTGTCTTATATATGTGATGATGAAGATAAATTTTTTTAATGACACCTTTATTGATGATATGTTATCATTACATGTTAATAAGTTTGTTGTAAAACTTAGTGAATACACCTTGTTTCCAAGTCATCTTGGTGAGTAAGAAACATACAACTTATTTGATATGTCTTTATCGAACCTTTATGTCATATGAAGTTTGCAAATAGGATGTGGGGAAGGTTGAAGGGAGACTAGCCAAAAAATGGTATAGGAACAACATTTCCATTTTCCTAACATAGCTCTTTGACTTTATTGTGTAGAGGATAATCTTTGAGTATATTTGCTAGAACATCTTTTCCATGGGCTTTAGGAATTATGGTGACATTTATCATACAAGGTCATCTTCCCCTTTAGAATGCATTTAATTATATCATATTGCATGTAACACCTATCCAACCCTCGTAATAATGATTGGAAACTCATTCAAATTCTATTACTTGAAAAATAGTCACTTAGTTAACACTAATGAATTATTTAGCTTTTTAGATTTTATCTCATGCTTCTTCGTGACCATATTATTATGCCAAAACATGTGTGCCAATTTACGATATATGGTTTGTGATCATGAAATAATAAAATTATCCTATAAATCTTAAAGATTTTCATTAGGTCAAAATTTGTGTCAAAATTATGATAATTATTAAATTATTTTATGTTTAACTAGATATATTTCATTTTTAACCCACTTTATTACCGATACAGTAAAATTATATTTGTTAAGTATTTTTATTAATTAATAGAGTTATTATAAATATAATAATGTAAATATATAATTAAGACGAGTGTGAGTATATAATGAATGATTATTATTGTTATTATTATTATTATTTTATTTTTCAATGTCTTAGTTTTGTTATATTTGATAATTTAACTTTTAAAATTTATTTATTATAATTGAATATTAAAAAATTATAAAAATTGATTATATTTTAATAATCTTAATATTCACATGAATTTTATTTCTTATATTAATAATACTTTTAATGTTATGTAATACATTTAAATTATTAGATTTTATTTTTATTATTTTAGTATAGTTAATTAATATTAATATTAATATTTTGAATGCTATTTAAATTTTACAATACTTAGATTTATAATACTTATTTAGCATTAATAATTATTATTCAATAGTATTTATTAATATAATATATAGTTATTACATAATATATTAAAAATTTAATATAATAATAATTATGTAATGTTTTTATTATTATAATATAGTTTTTTTAAATTTATATTTAATAGAATATAATCGTTTATTTGAATGTAAGATAATATAATTATATTTATAATAATTATGTAACTTTATTTATCAATAATAGCATATAGTTATTAGATAAGATATTAATTTAATACTAATAATTATTTTTTATTGTTCTTTATTAATATAATATAAATTTTTAATTTAATTATTACA